AGCAAAGAAGTAAGAAGGGTGAACCACCCCTTACTTGAAAATAGCCTCAAACCAACACTTTTAAGCCATAAAAACAGAGCTTTTTACAGTTCAAAATCAGCCTCAAAACAATTGAAAGAGATGGCAAAGCAAGTGTGCAAAACAAGTATAAAAGAAGAGTGTTATACCTCTTGTAGTCAAGACACAATTTGGCTAACAATCCAAGCCAAAAACCTCCTCTTATAGCTCAAAACAAGTCTCAAGCTACCTCAGCCCAAAGATGATCAACTTTGGTTAAGGAAGTGTATGCAAAAGTATGGTGTATCTAAGCTATCATGCACAAAATTGTAAGAGAGAGAGAGAGAGAGAGAGAGATATTTTGGTCCCAAATTTTCTTTCATTCCTAAAATGTTCTAACCTCTAAAGCAAGAAGAGAGGTCCTCATTATATAGAAAATATGAGTCTTGGGTTGAAAATATCTAAAAGGGACAACTGGAGCATTTGAAGGACAGCTAGCCAAAATATCTAGGCTTTACACCAGTGGCCGGTCAGCCAGAAGTGGTGGCCGGTCGGCCACAAATGGTAATTGTCGGCCATAGAAAAATTTGTTTCTAGGTCCGACTTCAAATGGTCATATGTCCTTTATCCGAACTCCTTTGCAAGTCATTCTTCAGTCTAAATTGAAGCCCTGAAAGTCTACTTTCCAATGGAAGTGGCCTAACATCAAAATTATAAGTGTGCTAAGAGATATGCATATTTTAGTGAAGGTTGCTAAGTTTTGGCTTAACCGAATTGATGCCTAACTTCAACCAGCCATATCTCCTTCATCCGGACTCGGCTTTAGGAGATTCGTGAGTGTAAAATGAAGCCCTGGAAGTCCACTTTCCAATGGTGGTGGCCTCACAACTTAAGTCCAAGTATACAAAAGGATAGACTTGATTTAGTGAGATTGCCCAGTTTTCTCTCAGCAGTTTCATACCTAACTTCTCTCCCAACTAATTTTCTTCCCTCTCCTCCAATTTTCTTCAACTCCAAACCTCTAAATAAGATGTTTTAAAATATTTTTGAAAGAGTTCACCTCTCTTCCATTTATTTCCACTTTGTCCTTGCTTGATTTATCGAAAAGTACAATTTTTAACGAAATGCGAGCCTCGGAACATCGTAGAAACTTTTGGGAAAAATATTTTGAAAAAGAGGGTTTTAAGGTCTAAAATGATTTTGTCAAAAATTTTTTGGTCCAAAATGGGGTGTAAGGTTGGGATTTGGAGCTCTTCTTGCTGAAGAAATCGAACATTTGCATAGCACAACTCTCATCACCGAGTGATCAATCAGCGGCGCCCAAGTCTTAAAGGCGGTCAAAAATGGGGTGTCTACAGTTATGCCTTGTCACAATCATATTGCATTGAGAAAATACTTGACAAATTCAGCAAAGATGATGATCATCTTGCTAGAACACCTGTGGATGTTAATTTGTTTCTTTCTAAGAATGTACAAGAAAATATTTCTCAATTAGAGTATGCCCAAATTATTGGAAGCTTAATATACTTGATGAACTACACTCGCCCGGATATAGCTTGTGCAGTAAGTAAATTAAGTAGATACACGAGTAATCCAGGAGTAGAACACTAGAAAGCATATCTCTGATTTACTCGTAACATTATATCTAGCAGTACTTGAAGGATATTGTGATGCAAATTGGATATCGGATACTAGAGACTCAAAATCCATAGTGGGTATGTCTTTACATTAGGTGGGGCAGCTGTATTTTGGAAATCTTCCAAATAGACTTGCATTGCTAGGTCTATTATGGAATCAAAATTCATAACTTTAGATAAAGTTAGGGAAGAGGCAGAATGGCTTCGCCACTTCCTTGAAGATATTCCTATGTGGCCAAAATCGGTGCCTGCTATTTGCATACATTGTGATAGCCAATCAGCAATAGGTAGAGCATAGAGTCATATGTATAACGGTAAATCACGATACATTCGTCGTCAACATAATATCGTGAGACAACTTCCCAAAACACCACTTAATCCAAACAACGTAAGCAAAAATCAAGGTAATATTGACACACAAAGAAGAGGGAACAATCCGTATCTATATATATTAAGAAAAAAATGAATTTTTAATGAGAAGGGTTTTGTGAAATTTAAAATTCTCATATTATTTTTTTAGATTTTTTATTTTTTAGATTTTTTATTAGCTAGCTTTTATTGAATGATTTTGAAAAAAAATCATTATGCTTTAATTTACACATTTTAAAAGGAAAGTTATTTAATCCATTTAAAAATTTAAAAAAGAAACTTAACTAATGAGTTTTAAAATTTAAATTTTTGTACCACTAAAACATAAGAATAAAATTTAAATTTTTGTACCACTAAAACATAAGAATCAATTCACATCTTTGATAGATTTTTTTCTCTTGATATTTAATAGTTTTATATGTATCAGCATTCGAATCTATATATCTATACTATAGCAAAGAGACATTTTATTAATAAAGGCAATGAAACCTTTAAAGTTTCATCTAAAAATTTCAAATTTTAGTAATTGAATAAAAATATTAAAAAAATTATTGGTTGTTGTCCTATTCTAAAAAATTCTATAACTAATTAACCTATCTTACCAAAAGATTTTTATACGATTATTAAACCGTGATCCTTATAATTTTGTTCTATTTTTTAAATATATTTTTCGACAGGTAATTTTGTTTCCTAAAACCCTCCAGCTATACTTTCATAGCCTAAGGTAGGATTTTATACTTTTTTATTTTTATTTTTAAATAGTGTATATCAATACAATAAAGAATTTAAAATTCCTTTCAAATTTGATGATGTGTTTGATTCATAGTTTTGGATAGAGATTTTGAAAGGAAAAATAAAAATGTGAATAAAATTAAGTAAAATATAGTTATATTTTATTCATATTTCACCAACTATCTTTTTTTTTTTTTCACATTTCACCTACCATTTTTTTTCCCCAAATTTTTACATAAATTCGTTAATCAAACATAACATAAAGTTGGGTACATTACTTTTTCAAATTTCTTTATTTTTTTTCTAATTTTTTTGAATTAATATTACTTTTTCAAACATAACTAATTTTTCAAATTAGTTACTATCTCAAAGATTAGTGATAGAGTCAAAAAAATGTGTAAATCTTAAAGTTGTGAAGTAAAATTTTATGCCAGAATTTGTTCAAATGTAATTTTCTTAATATTTAAAAATATTTTTTATTGATTGATCAAAAACACTGTAAATATTAAGATTATTATTATTTATTATTATTTTTTTTATGATATTGAAGTATTAAAATATGATGTATATAGGCTTAAACCAATAATTGTTGGAAAAAAATTGACTCGAACTAGATTTTCTGAACTCGTTTTTATATTTAATCTAATATTATAATTCTCAAATTAGCTCATACCAGTCATGAACCGATAAAGATAATTTTTAATGATTAGATGAATATCACATTGACATAAAATATTGAGTCAACTAGCTTCTAGCTCGCCTCTATTATTTAGTCGAATACCACAAGTCAGTCCTAATTAATTTTCACGAAAGAGTTATAACATAAGATAATTTATAATTTTGAGTAAACAAAATTTTAGGCTTTACAAAATAAGAAAAAATTAGTATATTAACAAATGTAATTTATTACTATCATGTGCTAAATTAAAGTTACTAAATTTATAAACGAAATGTATTTATATTTTAGAGAAAATATAATTTTTGTAATTTTTCTTTAATTTTTACTAATTAAATTATGACATGTAATTTTTTTATTAAGAACTTATAATACAATTAATCATATCAGAACAAAAATATTCTTTTACGTATAACTCTAATAAAAATGAATAAAATTTAATGAATTATAAGTTATTTTTATTACATATTTTAGATAAATTTTATATTATTATTTTAATATTATTTAATATACCCGTACATAATACGAATAGTATGCTAGTAATAATTAAAAATAAAAGAGAGAACAATTGTGTGTGTGTGTGTATTTTTATTAGGTTAAAGGATTTTCTCTAGTTGTTCTAGGAGAAAAAAGTCGTACCCAATATGCAAGACTCCCACTAAAAATTATTCGAACCCTAGTGAGCATATAATAGTCATGCTACAAATTAATAATAAAATAATATTTTTATATATTCTTCAATCACCACCATAAATTCATGAATCTCGTCATTTTTACCAATTATAGTTTTTTGAGGTCACTTATCCCCACTCACGAGACATGAAATAGTTGCTCAAATTCCTACAATTAAATTATAAATTTTTAAGTCATTTATCCCTGCTCACGAAACATAAAATAACTATTCAAATTCCCATAAATAAATTAAGAGTAATGTTAAAATGAACATTTATTTTTAACATCTTATCATGATATTTGACGTGTCAATCTAATTGTAGCAATGCATTTGATAATATTATATTGACAAATAAAGTGATAAACATAATATGACATAAATATAGTAAGCATAACATTATCGACAAATTAATTTTCACACTTAACTATTGGATGAACACCTAACAGGCTAAACAACGAGAGATTTAAGAAAACATCTACTAATAACACTACCGCATTATTGTAATTCAATTTTATGAATAAAATTTCTATTTACAAATCATTTTCGATCTCCCAACAGAGCCAAAGTAACTTACAAGGTTCCTTATGACCATAAAACTGCTTCCTTAAATATTCTACCTTCAAGCTAAAGCAATGTAAGTTCTAATTCTTGAAATACATTATCAAAGAAAAACCAATTCAAATTATTTCCATTCCACCTGTTCATAGAAAAACTAATTCAAATGTTTGAATTGTTGCATCAAAGTCCGCAGCACAGATTCAGTATCCTGTGTTATCCCAATTTGTTCACTATTATAAGAACCATAGGTTAAAGAATTGAAATCACAGAAGCCCTACCCCATACTTGCTAAGTTCACTAGAACCAAACCCAAAACAAAACAAAACAGGAATACTTGTCAAAAAAGAAAACAAACAAATCAGACAAGGAAACAACTTTGTACAATGTCTTTAAGATGCCTATATAGGATATTACAACTCTGCCTAGGAAGTTACGATCCGCTTCACTGAAATGAATTCTAACAGTTTGTGAATGTTCCTCAAACTGAGCAAGTAACAAGACACTGCAGAAAACAGAAACATGGAGAGAGAGAGAGAGAGAGAAAAAGAGAGCGAGAGATTCTTCCATATAGCTAACCAGCTATCTAAATCAAGTTCATCTCCTTATCCATGAATTCTAATCAATATACATAGACATACAAGAGAATTTTCTTACTACAAGTATTTAAAAATAAAAATAAAAAAATTATGCATTTTTGCTACACTATGTCTAGCCAGAACCCTACTTCAGAAGAAGGCTCCATAAACTGCCCCCTCACCAGATTTCTCTTTCGACTGTTTCTTTTCAACTAGAACTCGTACAAAACCCAAAATCTTTACCTTTGAATTGATGTCAGTGTTTATAATAACCTTTCAAGCTTCAAGTCAAACATCTCAGCTCTCTCTTAAATAGGACTTCACATTGGTTTCTATGAAAATGAAGCTCTCAATGGTTTCTCCTTTTGATGAAGGGTTGCTGGCAGTTGAAATTTCCGCCATAAAATGAATCCTAGACGGCACTATCTGAAAGTGCAGAAAAAGCAGGCAGTGTCATCTTGCAGTGATTCATGATAGATAAAACAACAGGTGAGTGCAAAATCAATTGAATATATTACTTGATCTTCGGTTGAAGCATCAGATATAGCCATCTTCAACCTTTTAACCCTGGACAAACTGGTCGACTGCACTTCTTTGTCTTCATCCACAAAGTTCTGATCCGAAACCTCTGCAGGAACCCCAATTATATGGACATTTTGACTTGATGAGAAAAATAAATAAAAGAAACAATGGAGATGAAAACATAATAAGACAAGCATATTAATAGGTCATATATCTATCATAGAATTTACTAGACTAAAAAAAAAAAACAAAACAAAGCCCCATAAGTACACAATAATGTGGGTTTGGGAGGAAAAAGATTGGATACACACCTAACTTTGGCATAGTGCACAAAGTAGTTGCCTCGATACTTAAACCTATAAGGTTATTAGGCCAAGGTTTTACCATTAAACTAACGGTAAAACCTATAACCTATAACCTTTGGCATAGAATTTAGTAGACTATAAGAATATTTTTTACAACTCACAAAAGATGAGTTAAAATTGTAGACGAGCATACTTTAAAAGTTCTTCACAAGATCTTACAGCCTTCAACTAATTTTTTCATGAGAATTTTTTTTCTTTATATTTTCTTTGTGCTCACTTCTTTTGGTCAGGGTGGTAATGTTTTAGCACATGAAATGCTACAAAAAACAATATAGTAAATCAGAAACAATTAGTTGTAAACAAGACCAATTCAAATACATTGGCATGCCTTCTGATAATAATGGAGACATATACACAGGGACAAACAAAGCAAAACAAAAAATACATTGTTGAAACTAAATATATGTTAGAAAGTTCAACAAACACAAAAGAATAAAAGTTGAAGAAAACACACTAATTTCAATCGAAACAGGTGTTGTGGAATTCAATTCATATAAAAATAATCTTGCAGACCCTTGATACTAGAAAAAATAAAAATGAAATCTACTAACGTTTACCAAGGAAAAAAAGAGATATGTTGTTCAAACAATTTCTTTTACATTTTACCCCTCCTATATGCTTCTTTCTTCTTTTTTTTCCTTTTTCCTTCAATGAAGAAATTTTAAAACCAAAAGAAAAAGTGATCAAGAAGAAACCACTTCTACTAATTCCTTGTTATTTTCCTATTTATAGTCAAATTTATCAAGAGAAACAAAATATAATGATTTAACCAATTAGTGTGTCACACAAGGAAGGAAAATAAACATTAAAAGATTCCACTCTCAATGAATTGGTTACAGAATAGCCACTTGTATGGATAATGACTGACACCAGTTCATAATAAAAGTAAACTATTAATTGAAGTATATTAAAGGTTCTCTAACTATGTGAAACACCATGGTAAGGACTGACACTGTTCTACATACACAGCAACTGTAAATGATCAAACATGGACAAATCGGAAATAAGCACAATACCCAAAAAGAAAGAGACCTAAGAAACACGGACATTTCTAAGAAGGTGACCTATTTGTGACGGACACCGACACTCTTTGGACACTTCCTGACATGTGTTAGACAACTTAAGATTCAATAATAAAATAAAAAATCATATAAATTTATAAAAATCATTCAATTATAAAATAAAAAATCATATAAATTTATGGAAAGATTACATAAATCAAAGAAATGCAAGAATTTTTTTTAGAAAGGGGAAAAAAAAGTTTCAGAAGACTCAGAATCAATATTGAATGTTGCTACCATGTGATATACTCAGCAAAAATTGGTAGATGACAGGAGGATCTATTTTGAATGTAAATATCACCCAATTCTCTTTTAGAAAGTGGATTGAAATCATATATATTTTGCAAACATTGTTTTAGGGAGCATGGGTCAGGCATCTCCACTAAGAAAATAGCATCTTGAATTTAATGTACAAAGACACTAATTGCACAGATATTTGTCATGTAACATTCTTTGATAAGTGTATTTGTCATCCATCCATGGGGCAAAACAAATCTAACACCCATCCATCAACATGTTAACTTCCTTGTCAATCCCCATAGATTTTCCATCTCCACCTAAGTCATTCTCTACAAAGGTAGTAAAAATAACAAGTGTTATATCTAAACGTCTTTGTAAAGAAAGATACTAGTGAGAGTACAAAAAGCCAAAGGTGGAAATGGGAAGGAATGAGCAACTGAAAGCTGAATCAGTAATAAAGCAAACTCAGAGCAAGCTAAACAAATGAGGATATTTTAGGACATGAAAGGTTACCACGGTTACCTGTCATAGTGCCAACTGCATCCTGATGACATTGGTGGCACAAACACTGCCGTTCTGAACTGGTTAATCCGTGGGAGAAAATCCTCTTCCCTCTCAAGGGCATTCCTTCACTGTGAAACATGTTGCATTCTTTCAAATCAGCTGATGGTATGGTGCTGGGTTTACCTGAACATCTAAAATGACGCATCCTTGGACTTTCCATGACCACATGAGAACCAGCTGCACCATGTAGTAAAGGCTGGTTCCTCTCAAATTTGATCTTCTTCCAAGGGCCATCACGTAGAAATGTGAACTGGAAAGAAATTATAAACATAAAAAAAATAAAATAGGCGATAAAGGTGTCATGGTTAAGAATGAAACACAACTGGGACAAAACCTATGTGACAATGGAAGGAAACAATATGCCACATATTAAATGAAGTCATTTAAGTGCCTAACCTGGTCAGAAGAATAACCAGCATTGACAGGCAGTTGTTGGGATGGATTAGAATCAATTGTGTTCTGTTCTGAACGCCAGAATGGCAAACCCAGGGATTGGTGTAACTGCTTAATGAATGATGCTTCCAAAGCATCAAGATATGAATTGTGCTTCTCATCCGTCCATGCCGTGCGCTATCCCAGTATAAATTAACCAGTATAAGAAATTCAGAATTTTCAGGAAAATAAAGGAAGAAGATATGATGAACAACTTATGCAGCATGAACAACTAAGTGTTCAGAATTTGTCAAACAAATTTATAAATAATTTTTTTTTGGACAATCATAAAACATACTATTCTCTTGATAATAAATTTTTAACAAGGAACTTGCCATTTAGTTTTACCATCTTTCCCAATAATTTGTTTAATTATTTCGATCTAGCTGTGAGGGTGTTTATAGCTCAAAGGCATGCTTGATCCAAGGTCTGTGATGTGACCTCCAAAGGAAATTACCTGTTAAGCTAGTACATGAAACATGGAGAGGACCTACAGGAAATTTGATAAGACGGTAAAATTAAAGCTCATTATATGAAATATAGCAATTTCATAAATAGCTACGAAGAGATCTCCATTGTGGAATTGAGCAAGAACCTGCATACCCACCTACAGTGATGTCCACATACTTTCAAGGGAAGGAGAAGGGGAAGGGTGGAAACAGGGATAGACATTCTCCACAACAGAACCGCAGCATTGCCAATTGAAGGAAAAGCAAACCTCTGATGCATTATATGTAACATGGAAGTTTCTAATCATAGTAAATTGTTAATTATCTCTCTACTCAAATGCTTCTCATTCCATCAGACCATGCACAGCAATTTAAAATTAAATGATTCAAATGTCTGGTCTAAATCCGTTCCAAAAAAAAATGTCTGGTCTAAAACTTCAACTTTAGCTACTACCAACAGTCCAATCAAATTCTGCAAACACAATTGTTCTTTTGTCACCATGATGATCCCCTATCATATACTGTCAATCACTCATCCTCCTATTTTTCGGCTCATCCTTCTCTCAACCCCTCATAGAAGCCCACTAGGATCTTCCACCCACTTAAAGGTAGCGTGTTTATTTTTGGAAAAAACAGATACAAACTTGCTTATTGTTCAATAATCTCAGTTTGAGAAGTCAACCATTGAACTCTCCCCACCTCTTACTATACCAACATGATTCATGTTCTTGATATCCCTAAATCAAAATCTCCCTTACTTTGATATCCCACAATTTGGATCCCTATGTGGTAAGAGAGGTGAACCCTACACAATTGAGTATATTGTATCATGCCATATCATTGAATATCAACCTTACACAATCTCCCTTACTTTGCTGTTCCATTTAACATCAAATTATTACCTCCATAAATATCAACCCATACGCTTTACATGCTTAACCTAAATCAAGAACGATCCATATCATCTACGATCTCAACCAATCCGATCAAATTTCCTTGAAACTCCGTACATATACAAGAAAATATCTAAACAAATACATTTTGACAAACAGCTGTGACAATAATAAATACATAACGAAAATAAAAATATCATCAGAGAAGAAGAAAAAAAAAAAAATAGCCAAGAGAAGATTACCGGTGCCACATTTGTATTCCGGTGAATGAAATCCTTGGAATGATCGACGGTTACAGAGGAAGACTCCAAGTTGGTCCGAGTCAACTCACTCCGGCGACCGTCCGGAGCGGCGAGATCTGGCGGCGGCTCCGGCTGGAGATTCTCTGCCATGGCGTGTTCGGACAATGCAATAACAACCTCTAAATTTAGAGGAACAAGCCCTTGATTCAGCAGAGAGAAACCCTCGCCTGGTTCTTCTTTCCTCTCGGTGTGAACAAGTTTTATAGAGAGAGAGAGAGAGAGAGAGAGAGAGAGAGAGGGGGCGGTGTAGTGTTGAGAGGACAGAGAGACAGGGAGGGGGCCAAAAAAAGATCCACATGGAGACGCTTTTACACGTGTCAGTTACGTCACCAGGGTACCACGTCAGCGTAGTAGTTTGATAATATCTTGAGCCCAATGTGAGCCAGATATTTTCTCTTAACCTTCGAAGCTTTGTGGGGACTCCAATCGTAACAGTTAGATTGTCCACGCTCTTGCCACGTGTGTCTCGCATTGGTCCAGGCGATAAGGAATATCGATTATGCTAAGGTTCCTGAAATTTGCTATTAAATTTTAGATAAAGTATAAATCTATTTGGAAAATTTGATTATCTATTATAATTTGAATTATTCACTTAAAATACGAATTGTCTCATGTCGTTTAAAAAATTACAAATATCTCATTGTTAAAAAAATTTATTTAACAAAATTAATTGAAAAAATAAAATTTTTTATTGCTCTTATATATAGTAATAAAATTATTTAAATTATTAATTAAAATATATTTATGTCATCATTAAATACTGTTAATTGATTTGATAATTTATTAATAAAACAGATCATTTGTTATTAAATTAGAAACTTTAGGATATGAGATATAATTTTCAAAATCACAAGGACAATTCATATTTTAAGCAAATTTTAAAGAATTATTTATAATTTATCCTAATTTCTTTAGGTAATTGATAAATACACTCTTAAAATTGATTTAAAATACGAATTGCACTATATAGTTCTGGAAATTATATTTTCTCCTTTTAAGTTTCTAATCGCATAATAAATGATTCATTTTATTAATAAGTTTTCAAGTCAATTAACATTTGTTAATGATATTAGAAATATATTTTAATTAATGATTTAGGTAATTTTATTATTATATAATAAAGTAGTTAAAAATTTTATTTTATTTATTAATTCTGTTAAATAAAAAATTATGATAATAAAGTATTTATAATTTTTAAAATTACATGGAACACTCATGTTTTAAACAAATTTCAGATAATGTTTTTGTATTTACTCTAAATTTTTAGATTTTATTGTGTGTCACATTATATTGGTTTAATGTGTTGTTGACTTCCATTTTCTTTTTCTCCCCTTTTTTTTTTGGGTTGGGGGGGGCATAAAAATATATAATTGTTTCAAAATATTTAAAATATTATTCTTAAAATTTTAAGAGCTTTTGAAAAAGTGAGGTCTTAAAACATATCAAAGCATAATAAAGATGACATTTTGAACACACTTATCCCATTTCACAGGTAATTAAGTTTTTGGTAAAATTATAAAAAATAGGAATCGATGAATAGTATGTGCATTTCAGTATATGTATAATATTAGATAGAGTAAGATCAATATTTATATAACAATTAGATTAAACATATTAGTAGTGTTAAATTTGTATTATGGGAATTTAACACATTTTTTTAGTTGTTATAGAGTAATGATAGGAATTATAAAAAAAAAATCATAAAAATTATCATAAAAAATTTTCTATTCTTAAATTACACATATAATAAAATATTACATCCTAATCAAATGATAAAAAACTTTTATAAAATATTTCATAATTTTTTTTTATAATCCTTAATATTATTCTTAGAAGAGTGCTTCAGTGGATATACCGCCGCCCAACAGAGCCTTAAATTCCTTTCCCAACTAGATAATTATGCTTTCATTCATTTTTCATTTTTCCAAATGAAAAAGTTTCTAGAAACAATTTACTTCTTCATCATATATATATATATATATATATTATATTAAAAGTAATATTTTTTTCATATTTAGGTAGCATATTATAAGAGTAAATTTTTTTTTTAAGAGAACCACGTCAGTATGTATTTCTTAATTATATATGGAGTTCTATACAAATTTAAACATAATTTAAATTATACTAACTTTATCTATTTTATATGAACTCTATTTGACAAATACTTTTTTTTTTATATATTTTTCATCATAAATTGAGATAATCTACAAATTCAATACTAATTTTGCATTTCACATTTTCTTCTTAATTCTTTCAAAGGTATTAGGATTTTTTTTTAAATGTTAAATTGCCTCTTTCTTTTTTGTTTTTTTTCTTATTTTTCCGTGTATTATTCTATATCCACTCTTAATTTTATATTATTTTATATTATGGATTTGTTATCAAAATTTTATAATGATTCTATATATAAAATTATAGTTTATTTTCTACATTATTTTATATAATCACTAATCACTATTCAATATTCTTGAAAAACTTGTAAAATTTGAATTTATTGATTGAGTTATTTTTTCAATTATTGAACAGTAAGTTCTTTTATGTTTTGATATCATATTACAAATCATTAATCATTTTACACACTAAAATGTATCTATCGTTTGGATAGTTTCATTATTTTTTCTTTTTGGGTTTAGATGTTATTATGTGATTTTTTCTTGGTTAATTGTTGTTGAATTTATGTTGATATTTTAATTTAATTAAGAGTGTTTATTTTATAATCTTATAATTTAATATATATATATATATACCGGCCCAAATCTGTCCGGCACAACTCTGTCCGGCCCAAATCTGTCCGGCACAACTCTGCCCGGCCCAAATCTGTCTGGCACAAAGTCCATATCATTAATCTCCCTCTCAATTATTATTTTTAACATAAAAATGAGTATTTATTTTATTATTTTATAATTTAATATATATCATACAAAATTATTATATGATAATTATCACATTTTTATAATATGATAGAACTAAAATTATCAAAACACACAAATAATTTAACTAAAATTAATATATATATATATATATAAAAGTATTCAAGTAACATTTTTATAGAACGATAATGTCAATATTATCAAAATAAATAATTAAAATTATATTTTTATTTTAAATTAAAATTAAAATTATTTTTTTTATAACACATAACGTACCATCAAATATTTTGTTTTAAAAAAATAGCACGCGAATTGCACATGTCATCTGCTAATTAACTGTTAAGTTTATAAGGAAATTTATGCAGAAATCGTTTGAACTTTCTTGCAATTCATAACTATGTACTTTTACTAAAAATGATTTGAAGAAAAAAACATTTATTTCAAAAAATTAATTATGATGGAAACCCACATTTTCCAACAATAACTAAACATATATTGAAAGGAAAATAATTTTTATCTTTTTCTTTCCATTCCTATCAACGAATACAACCTTTTTGCACTCTTTAAGGTTGAAATGGAAAATTTTGAACTTTGGCATGGAAAACGCGTTTTCATTCCTCTTCTTCAAAAAGTAAAATTTTGCTTGGATTCTTTTCTTTGGTAAAAGTGACTATTGATTTAGACTACAAACAGTTCAAATAGTAAATTATTTAAATTTAGAATTTGTTTGAGAATTGATCTTTTAGTTAAAATATGAGTTTAAAAAATTGAAAGAGTTTGGAAATATTTTTCTAATTTTTTATTAAAAAAATATGCAAAAAGTAGAAAGAATAGGAATGAATTTTTAAATTTTTTTGTATGACTTTTATTAGCTTTCTTAATAATTTTTGGGCAAATTACATATACCTCCCTTGAGGTTTGGCTAAATTACAAATACCTCCCTGAGGTTTGAGAAATTACAAATTCTCCTCTGAATGCTATATTTACATAACAAATTAGGGGGTAATTTGTTATGAAATATAAACCTCAAGGGGCAAATTGTTATGAAAATACAAACCTCAGGGGACGGGATGTAATTTCCAAAACTTCAGAGGAGTATTTGTAATTTAACTAAACCTCGAGGGAGGTATTTGTAATTTGCCCATAATTTTTTAAATAAAACAATATCATCTCAAACGGATCCTTTGTTAAAATATAAACTTAGAAGTGTGTTTAAATTTAATTGATTTGACTTTTAATTGATTGCAAATAGAGCCGCTTGAATAGCTTTTTTTATGTGTATTTTTTTTTAGCAAGAAAAGAGCTACATCGCATCATAGTTTCTGGTAAATCTTTATCTACATGTACATTGTTCTAACTAGAAATGTTGACAAACATTATGTGTCTGAATTATTATATCAATAATTACTAATTAAAATAATTAGATGGAGCAAAAAATTACTCCACACAACGTGAGTCCGCTTCATTAATTCCAACTTAAGAATTGCTTTTATATAATAGGTGTTGACACACATTATGTATGTGAATTACTAGATCGACAATTATCAATTACTAACAGTTAAATAGGGTAAGAAAATAGTTACATAGGGTAAGAAAATACTCCAAACACTGTGATTCGATTTCATTTCATATATACCAACTCAAAGATTATTTTATATAATAGAATAAATATTTATGTATATATAGTTGTAGAGTACATATATGAACTTATCAAGCCAAACTTACAAAATAAATAAATTTTATAACATGTTTAACTTATAGATTATTATCGAACGAGTTTTTACTGAGTCAAAATTAAGTGTAAACATTGGCCTGACAACTTGCTGAGTTCACCTTAGCTTTTCCATGATTTATAGGACTTGAGATTATAGTTTAGACTCATAGGGCTTAGTTAGACAAATTTTTTAGGCTCAATTATAATTATTAGGCTGAGTCTGAGGGGAGTGTTTCAATCCTAGCTCTGCCTGACCCGCTCACAAATTATATTATACAATGTGTTTTATAAATATACATATTTGAACGTGATTAAGGCCGAAATGTACGTCATTGAGACCGTTAATTAGAATTTCTTAATTTCACTTGCTGGTCAAATTGTATATTTTATGTGTGTTGAGTGTCAATCAGGTTGTACATCGTTGGAGCATAAAATGAGCAAAAATACAGAATTTGGACAGAGTTGACTTTTCCACACGTGCGTTGACTTTTTCCGCACGTGCGTTGACTTTTTCTGGAAAAGTCAAATCGACGTTTTAAACCTGTTTGGACGAGATTGAAAGTATAAAAAGGCATGTAAAATGCCGGATTAGGGTTCGGAAGTTTTTTTTTGACCAAAAGAGAGAGGCTAGGGTTTTGAAGGGAAGAGAAACAAAAAGCTTCAAG